GGGTTAGTTAGAGGTACTGGGTGGTCATAAATTAATTTTTAATTTTTATTTGAAACAATTAAATTAATTTTTGATTAAAAAATTAGTGGTTAGGGGCAGTCAAAGGCAATAAGTGGCTATAACTGAGTTTTAAATTTTATTTTGAATAATTGAGGCATTTTTAAATAAAAAAATGGGTAGCACGGGTCAGTGCGAGGTACTGGGTAGACATTAATGATTTTATTTTTTTATTTAGAAAAATCAAAGTAGTTTTTAATTAAAAATTAAGAGTAAGGGTTAGTTAGAGGTACTGGGTGGTCATAAATTGATTTTTAATTTTTATTTAAAACAATTAAATTAATTTTTGATTAAAAAATTCGTTTCTGGGGTCAGTCAGAGGCACTAAGTGGCTATGACTGAGTTTTAAATTTTGTTTGGAATAATTGAGTCAGTTTTGAATTTGAAATGGGTAGCAAGGGTGAGTGAGAGGTACTGTACTGGGTAGACGTAAATGATTTTATTTTTTTATTTAGAAAAATCAAAGTAGTTTTTAATTAAAAATTAAGAGTAAGGGTTAGTTAGAGGTACTGGGTGGTCATAAATTAATTTTTAATTTTTATTTGAAACAATTAAATTAATTTTTGATTAAAAAATTAGTGGCTGGAGGCAGTCAAAGGCACAAAGTGGTTATGACTGAGTTTTAAATTTCATTTGGAATCATTGAGGCAGTTTTAAATTGAAAAAATTAGTAGCAAGAATCAGTGGGAGGTACTGGATAGACATGAATGATTTTTTCTTTTATTTCGATAAATCAAAGTATTTTCCAATTAAAAAATTAGTTGGGAGGGTGTGTTAGAGACACTGATTGGCTAGGAATGAATTTTCATTTTTATTTGGAATAAAGAACCGACGTTTTCAGACGGGTTAAGAGTGTCGTTTGCTGATTTATTTTACTCAAAAAACTTCTGTATTTTTATCGCTCGCTCTCCTTTTTTATCAACTTTTCCTTATTCCAATTGTTGCTATTATTCCGAATCTCTTGTTTTGTTCATCGTTGATTTTTTCTCTATGTGTCTCGCGATTCGATTTTTTTTCCGATTTCATTTGTTTTCTTACCGTCTCTTGGCTAACTATTTTCCGTTGTCAGTAATTTCTGAATTTTCTCTCAACGAACTTCGTCATCATGGTTTATACTGCTGCTGAATTTACCGAGATGATTATTCTTCATGGCGAGTGTAATCGTAATGCTGTGGCAGCTGCACGCCCTGATCGTGAGAGGTTTCCGAATCGTGACAGCTATCCAGATAAAAATGTTATCCTCCGCGCTCTTCATCGTTGTCGCGAATCCGGCAATTTGATGCCGATCAATGTCGAGCGCGTCGGTCAACCTCGAGAGGTTCGGAACGTTCGCAACGAAGAACGCGTTCTTGCTGCTATCCGTGCGGATCCCAGTACGAGTACAAGACGGGTTGAACGCCGGATCCACATTTCACGCTCTACGGTAAACTGTATTACTCGCACTGAGAAGATCCATCCTTATTACAGAAGGAAAGTGCAGAAGTTAGACGCTGGAGATTACCGCTTGCAAATGGACTTCTGTCGGTTCATTCTTAACTCCAACGACGCGGATCCAAATTCCTTGCGGGGAATATTGTGGACTGATGAATCACTCTTCACTCGGGAGGGGTGTTTCAATCAACACAATAGTGATTGGTATGCAGAGGAAAATACGCACATGACGGTGAACCGTAATTTCCAGAATAAATGGAAAATTAATGTTTGGGGTGGAATCATCGGTGACCACGTCATTCTTTACGAATTACCCGAAACAATGAACGTAAGTAAAAATTTAAATACACCAGTAAAAATTCTTCTGTGTTGAGTATTTGAATTGAGTTTTTTTAACAATTTATTGAGAGCTTTTATCATTCATAAAAATCGAACCTTATTTACGCGAGTGATTTTTGTGTTTTAATGGAATCATTCAATTTTTCATAATAAGTGAAGTCGTCCTTGTCGTCCTCAAATGTTCCTTAACTGAATTCACCACTCCCATGCACCTATTTCCTAGTTCCCTACAACAAACCATGAATTCTCCTTATTACAGAGCACCCAATACCTGACATTCCTACGCGATGAACTTCCTCGACTACTAGGTGAAGTGAATGAGCAGCCGACGTGGTTTCAGCATGACGGAGCACCGAGTCACTATGCTGGTACAGTGCGAGACTTTCTCAACGGAATTTACCCTCAACGTTGGTTCGGAAGAAACGGACCACGAAGGTGGCCCCCGAGATCACGTGACTTGACGCCACTGGACTACTTCTTGTGGGGAAATTTGAAGGAAATGGTCTACTTTGATGAGCCCCGGGACCAAATGGAGACCGTGGCCCGAATTCATGCTGCTCAGATGACAGTCACGGCAGAAATGCTAGAAACTGTACGAGAGAATCTACTCAAGCGATGCCGACTCTGTTTTCAAGTGGACGGACGACATTTTGAGAATCTACTCGATTAAATTTCGACGAATTCCTTTTCATTTCACAAATAATTAGTAATAAATCATCGAATTTGATCAGCGCTTGCGGTGAAAAATATTGATATTAATCGTTCTATTTTTATTTTCAAAAATCGTCGATATTTCTCAATAAATAAATTTTTTATTGTATTAAACCATTACATTAGTTTGTCTAAGCTTAGCATTAATTATAAACCTTAAAAATAACTTAAATAATTGTAAAAAAATAAAAAATTTCAGAGATAGCTAATTAGTGCCTCTTGGTGACACTTGCTACTAATTTTTCAAATAAAATTGACTTTAATTATTCTAATTAGAAATAAAACTCCATTCAGAGCTGCCCAGAGCCTCTCACTGACCCTCACTACTTATTTTTTATCTAGAAATTACTTAAATAATTTCACGTAAAAATAAAAATTCATTCATAGCCGCCCAGTGCCTCGTACTCACCCTCGCTACTTATTTTTTGATTAAAAATTACTCTAATTATTTAAAATAAAAATGAAAATTTATTGCTAGTCAACCAGTGACTCTTACTCGACCTCGCAAATTGATTTTCAATTGGAAATTACTTTCATTATTCGAAATAAGAATAGAAATTCATACATAGCCGCCCAGGACCTTTAAGTGACCTTCGCTACTTATTTTTAAATCAAAAATAATTGTAATTAATCGGAATAGAAATAAAAATCAATTTAAAGCCGCCCAGAGCCTCTACTCGACACTCGCTACAAATTTTTTTCATTGGAAATTACATTAATTATTCCAAATTGAAATAA